TCTCGCCTGTGGAAATTATGAGAGCAGAGCCACGGGTGAGGGTAGATTTATTCTTCACGAATGGAGCGAGTGCTTTTCTTTTTAATTTCTTTTTCTTCGCGTTTCCCTACATCCTTCTATGTCTCTCCACTTAAAACAAAATTTTCTTCGAACGATCCTCCTTAGTCGTTTATAACCATTTCCCGAGTAAAAGTAGTATAACATTTTACGTTCTCCAAATGCAAACTAATAATGCTGACATTACCCCATTTGTGAAGTATTTATAGAATAATGTATACAATCCGTTATAACGATTCTGAGGACACTCAGACCCTGAAATAGAAGCATTCTCAAATCAGAAAGGCATCCCTTTCCTAATAAAAGAGGTTAAAAAAAAATAGATAAAGTCAATTCTCATTGGAATATTGTCAAAATTATTATTTACCGTGTATTAAAGACTTTCTTAAAATTTTACGTCTTTCGTTGGATTTTACGGAAATTAATTTTTATTCCATTCAATAACAGTTACTTATTACCTCATCGAAGATTTTTCTCTGATACTTGTACTTTTATGTGGGAAACTGATTTTCTAAAAAAAATGCTCTTCTTCTATATCCAAGCTCGATGATATCCTCCTCAGTGAAAACCATATATCCTTTGAATCCATTGAATTCAATCAGCTTTGATATACCATTTGAGTTGTTTCGCAAATTCCATAGTTATACGACATTGCATACAATACGGTTTACCCGGTTGTCAGCACGGAATATTCAAACACGTTGAATACTTCCCATTGGAAAACGCGTATCGTATGAAACGGCAAATTTAACAGTTTCCCACTTGTTAAACGTGTAAAACATTTAACCCGTTGGAATCCGTCATTGGTACCACTGGAGTAAGCAAAGTCTTAGCTAAAAAGTACATAAATGCTTGTAAACGCGTGATGTAAAGTTTTGTCACATTCGTCAGGCCTTAAACGTCATAATTGATCACATGACTCCATAAGACAAAGAGTTCGATAATTGCGTGGTATCGACCGAGACAAATGCGTTACGTACAGTCTGCATGGCAAATCAACCAGAATCTATAAGTCATTAGTGTTTACATATAATTACAGCATTTAATCATTGAACCAACATTAAATTTTACAAAAGTCTATATAGTCATATGATTATTATTATAAGATTCTTAAGATACGATAATCACCGCACGATAATCAAGACGTACATTTAGTATTTCCATAACGTTTTTCAGTAATTTCCTCGACTTTCGATATATTGATAACGATAACGACTTTCTTCCCACAGCATTGTACCGCAATGATAATTAGTAAGACGAGGTCTATAGCTTCATTGTTATCCATATAAAAGAGCCGCCATATTGCCACTTACTATATTTGTCGTTATAACAATACCACGAGCGTTATATCTATCTTATTATAGGGATAACACCTTGTCTTATCATATCTATAATCATAATCAGGTAGACGAAAATTATTTAAGACTGCATTCTGGGTAGCGCAAACATCATAAAATAAAATTGATGTATTTCCACCGGAAATATCAAGCAGTAGAAAATATAATTAACCTCGTTAATATGCATGGCGTTTCCACTAACGGATATGTGGATAATATGAATACGCAATGTGACGAACGCGTGTATCAATGATATTTGCATAAAAGCCATAAGGAGGATAAATATTAATTGCGAGAGTCCGCTATCGCTTTCAGGATAATTTTTAATTTTTTTATTTCTCCCCTTGAAACAACGTACTAATCATTAGGATACGTGCGTGATGATTTTATATCTATATAACAATGATAGATAGAAATCGAATATCGCCTTATCATGCATAAACACAGATATTGGTCCAAGGGCTTAGCAATGCATGTATGATAATGACAGTAATGACGATGACATCGATAACAATAGCAATAACTCAGAATAATGCCTCTATAACAGTGTGCTTACATGAGGAATCATTGTTGTGATTGATCCAATGCACTGACACTTTAATTAATCAAAAGGTGAGCTAATTTACTTACGTATATCAATGGCTCGTATTATCGATAAAAATGATCGTTTATTGGCCTAAAACAAGTATTAAATTTAAATTTAAATTTAAATTCCAAAAATGTAGAATATTTAGTACATAAAGGAAGGAATCTGTTGGCGAATGATTATTTTAAATTTTCATCGAAATTCTCTGTATAATTTATTATGTTTATTCCGGGCAATTTTATTCACGTTTAATATATGTATATATTTTTTTTAATTAAGAAGCCTTTCATATCATGGGTTAGAGCTTAACTTGATTAATTCATAACAAGCTGCATATTACTGCTCTGTATTTCCTACAGGATTAAGCAACGCATAGCTGTATGTAGTATACATAGTCCTTGGTTACCTACGACCGCGTACTGTTCAGTTTGCGTAACAGCGTTCATTCATGGGATATTGTGTCAGTACAGTGTCACTCAGTATATAACAAGATGTGATATGTATAGTTTATGCTAGTGCGTACTACTAATTAATTTAACATAGCCTGCCAAGAGTCACTATAGACTCAGCATAATTTCCAAGGTAGCTGGTAATCGAGTGGAAATTATGGAATTCCTAGTTGGGAGTTAAATAATTTAAAGACGGGTTTATACAACTGTTGCTATAGTATCTGTGGTATGTATTATTCAAAATTTCAATGATACGCGGGTGCGCGTGTTAACCATGACGTATATCCATGGCAAAAGAATTATTATTTCTGCCCGTTTTCAGGAACATATTTTCATAAGACGTTGATCGTTATAATGCTGTCACAAATTGCATTAGTAGGTACTCGTGTGTAATTTATAAATTCCAAGTGGAAGGTTAAGAACAAAAATAGAAGTACGAATATTTTTTTTATTCAAATTTAGATACCCTGTACATAAAATTTTACCTATAGTTGATGTTTGGCATGGATTTATTAACTTGCAAAAAGTTTCGACTAATTTTGCAATCCGGCTTTAAATTTGGATTCGTCCCTTATCGCGATCTCGTGATTTTGTCTTATCACTCACGATACCCTGTCTCTTCTTGTTAAATCCCCTTATACCGTCATCAACATCAACATTGCCCCCATCGACCCCCAAGGATCGTATAGCTTCTCCGACACGCGACATGCTCGTAAGGATTGGACTATACGAGGGCGAAGCTCATTACGCGACTCCGCCAATCCGTAAGGCGGTCGCGTTTACAGGAGGCGGCAGTAACTCATGCTGGGAAGATTGTCATAGAAATAACAAAGTGACCCGAGTTAAATGAAGAGATAACCAACTGAACCAGGTATCACGGTATAGATATATCCTCGTGCAGATAAATATATTTCGGTCTGACGATTGAACCTAGGAAAAATTATGGCAGTCTTTCTGAACGACGAAAGAAGACTTGTAAATCGCGTTGTAGCAAAGATCCAGGTATTTATATTCGTAAATGAATTTAATGCCGCTGACGAGGTAAGAAAATATTTCTCAATATTTCATCTGCTTCGGGCTACGCAGTATTTTTGTTAAATGCCAACGCTACGATATCCTCGAATTCTAGATACAACTCGTGAGCTTTAAAAATAGCGAGATTTACTTTATATCTCTTGGGAAAACTCCATATGGATAAATAAACTAGGCGTAGAAAACTGAATCGATCTAATATTGAATCATTACATTCCTACGAGTTTCAATCGATTGACTTCATCAACAAAAGTCGACGGAATTATCAATCAACGTCCTTGATCCTTCTCCTATGTATAGCTCCGCATATATATGTCTTTCTCTTATCCACGTGAATTCCCATAAGACTGTCTCTCTCGCACTCGTGATCAGTTAACTCAATTAACCTCTTCTCTTACCAATGACATTAAAATATTACTTTTTTCCCTCGAAATCTCACATTTCAGTATACACAATTATCTAAAAGGCAGTGAACTATCTTATCTATGAAATTTGCCTATTATCGCTCCATCAAATTTCATATGGCCATTGCCAAATTTCATTTTTACGTTTCAACTGCACTGTATGTGTATTCGTCAATATTTTAATCGGAATAAACATTTTTTAGGAACATTATTACGACAGACAAAGTTTACCTGGGTATAAAAGTGACTCCGATACCTGCGTGCAGAAATTCCCTAGTGCCGCGCGAATCACTCGAGTCTCTCGTTTACATTAACGGTGCGCAGGTAACGATCGTCCCAGAAACAGCGACGTGTATTCCGACACTTACAGCTGCCTGTACCACACTGTACCAAAACAATGGGCTCTTCTCAAGTGTCTCATAAACATTGCTTACTATAGATACGTATTAGATAGATAACGTAAATACCATTGTAAAAAGCAACGTACGCAAGGTCTATTAGGATCTTCGGGAGTCTCCGCACATTGCGCAAGATTGGGTTCAGCTAACTAGAAGCGTCGTGAAATCGAAAGCATTTTCAATCGTGATGCAAGCACCATCGCACAGGTAAAATACGAGGAACGGAAAACATGGACGATCCTTATGACCTGAAAGTTCTACTCTGAATCACGTGTATAATAAATTCTGTGTTCTAAAAGCTATTTCAAAGGGAATTCACGTTATTAATATATTATTATAATTTTTGTTGAAATTAATTATACGAAATGACTGTTATCTCAGGCTGATGGTTCTGTTATCAAAATAATTTTTACAGTCTCAAAATGTGTTTTTGACATAAAGCTGTGGGTCTTTGCTGTGTTTATTTACATGGAAAGTAGGAACGGTAAGCTCGAGGAAGTAGGTATGGTCTGTTCGTGGTCCGGCAAGGAAATGAAGTAGAGTAGAGTAAGCACGCCGTGGCTCGAGCGTAATGCGACTGATAAGAGGAATGGTTACATGAAGTATTACGATGCGTTATGTCATAGGTGGGACGGTTTTCTGGATAGGGCAATAATTTGGCGGCGCGGCGCAAGCGCCGCGACGAGAGTCCGGGTCAACGACAAGAACGACGTCCCAGTCTAGTCGTACGACGACCGTCAGAGTAGATATCCGTCGACGGGACGCGAAGCGCAACGTCCGCGCTCTTGTGCAGAACCGCCAAATCCAAAACGGGTTTTCGCTTTGACGCGGTGAAACATTAAAATACGTGAAGCAAGATCATCAGTCATTATTGGTTATCGGTCTCACGTGTCCACGTGCTTGATGAATTATTAGTGCGAGTAACGATAATGATAAAAAATCGCGAAGACATCTAAACGATGCTGGACGTTAATAAAAATTATATACGCATACTGGACCCGCAGGCTATGCTTAGGTAAATTAAAGAGAAATGGAGGAAAAATTGTGAAAAAAATTGTGCTAATAAAGAGAAGAAGGTGAACCCAGGGAGTGAAGTACCAGGTGACTCATAATACGGACACTCGACTTCTGAGTAGCTTTTTTTTTCCTCCACTTTAATCGCAGTGCTCGTACGAAGTGGCCGGATTGAAGGATTTTTTGTATTCTCCTTGTTTCGTCCTTTTAGTCAATGCTGATTCTCATGAAACGCCAATATTTTACGGACGCTACAACGAGGGGCTGATTATATTGGCTGTGCATTTTTGTCTCTTTTATCCGTCAACAATCGGTACCGAGTTTTCTGTAAAACTTTTTTTTCCAATTTTCACGGAGAATGCTTCTCCGCTACTGTCGAGCCGAATAGCTCCACTTCGCGAGCGGAGTCACTCTAGTGTTGTTTCCATTTCGATGAAGTGAAAATTGGACAGGAGATTGCAGCAGTCGTATACCGTAATTAGTATACCGGTGAATATCCTCAAGGAAGTGGGAGAAGTCGAGTTTATCATTGCTAGGGCTAATGGATTGAAGAGAGAGGAAAGAGAATGGGTTTTACTGGCAATTACCGATAACGAGAATTAAATCGGGTTGCATCATCGTAATCCAGGAGAAGCAACGAGTCGTAATCGAGGATTATAAACACGGAGGAAAAACGCAGCCGACTGTTAGGTAAGAATCGTACTGATACTCGAAATTCGTATTTGGAGAAAATCTTATTCATATAGCGATGAACGATCTTTCATTATTCTATTTGCTATAAATTATTCGTAGAACGTTAACCGCATTAGGGAAAAAAATTATCTTGCTTTCGATTGCTTAATGAAAATATATCACGTTTTCGAACGTGCCGTATACTATTTTGTATGTGAATAAAAAAAATGTTATTTTATCAAAGGTTACGTAATCTATTCCAATAATTTATAAAAATCGTTTTCCCACATGCAAATAAGTTATAGCCTGTATCGATTTGTCACTGGTATATGGGTATGTAGCATATGTCAGAAATCTATCTTAAATCTAGTCATGCATTAGGAGCGTAATGCGAGAGCTGATAAACCCTTCGTGAAACATGTACCTAGTGCATTGGTTGCTGCACTCTTTGCTTGTTGTGCAATTAAACGTTGTTAGGGGACTAGTGGTTAACCGAGCAATACGGAAATGCGCTCGTCGTTCCTGTAGGATAGTATTGCTTTATTTTGTAGATATATGACGATAATATATAAAGTGTATACGCAGTTTCCTAAGTGCCCGTCAGGAAAGTAATGTGTCGCGTTATTTGAAAGCCGGATAAACAATTTGAGACCGAGCGTCGGGAGGCTAGCGAGGTTAGAGCATGCAAATGAAGATGTATTATTCTACGTACGTTCTACCATATTGATCGTCGCGATTGAAAATTTTATTAATCGCGACGTGTATCGAAATTATGCATTTATATAACACGGGCAACGAACGGAGAATAGAAAATGAAGAATTTGATTAAAATACATTTTTAAAAAAATTTTTTATTAATTCAGCACTAAGGAATTTTGATATGTTTAATTTACAAGATGGCGTAATGATTACTTAATAACGATTTAGATCGTGTTTCAGAAATTTTGATTTACTCAGTGTTAAATGTTTTGAATAAATTTTATACATGTGTGACATTCGTTATGGACAATTTGACTGATAACGCTTAATCCATACTTGCGATTCGGTAGCCATATTTGTTCTTGAATTTTTCGACTGAATTGCATTTCCTTTATCTTTCTTTTATTTACCTTCAATAAGAACCATCATTTTTCGCCGCTCGTGTATTCCTAGCGCGTCGCGACGTCTGTGGCTCGCGTCGCCACGTTTTCGTTTTTGGAAAATAAATTAGCCGTGAAAAATTATCCCACGTAGCTATACCGAATCCGATGTCTCAACTTTGGAATTTTCTTGCTAAACAGAATTTCGTACGCTTTCGACCAGTCGAGTGTTTCCATAATATTATTTGCTGTAGCGAATACCGTTTCTTTCGCGATACGAGGCTATATCTTAAAATCGTGCAAATTTCTTGTAAATTATATTTCATTATCGATACGGTCTCGATTAATCATGATAAAGCACGGGTCACCTTTGAGTATGATAAGAGCACGTAGCTGTTTCAATAAATTTTACATATCTTATTCGTTAGATATGGAAAATTACAGCTATGGCTACTAATAACACTCTGAGAACTTTATGTCAGTACAGAACAGAAAAGGACAAAATAAAAGACACTGGTGTAAAATAAAAAAAAAATAAATCAATTGAATTTAACAGAAGATATTCGCTCAAATTATAAAAACAAATATATAAATATTGTATTTTGACAAAATTATAAATATTGTATTTTAATAGTTTCCGTAAGCCATAAGATCACGCCGTATAATTCCTTTTGACTAATGATAATGGACCATTACTCCCAGCTGCATTGCACGAAGAACGTGTCGTTGATTTCTATACAAATGGGTAACCTTAAGCGTCACATTAAAAACAAAAATTGCTCTAGACTCTTACTGAAAAATTCAAATGAAAATCTGATTACAATATTGTTATCTCATGTGTCTACCATTCGTCATATTATACGTTTCTTTCAAATCATACATGTAACAACGTATGCTTATTTTCTTTTAATCAAAGTTCAATTGAAAATCGAATATACATATATGTATACTGATATACCTATCGATGAAATATACTGTAGAAATATGCATAGGTTATAATCGATTCTCGCTAACACGATAAAATCGATAGGTATAGGGTGTGAATATTTGTACTCTTCCTTTTTCTTGTTTTTTTTTTAACTTTTACGTACAATATGGTAAATCGTTTTATCAATATTTCAATGTTGGCTGAACTACCTGTTCCTGGTAGGGCCAATTTTTTGTTCTCTTTTCAACTTTCGAGTACGTTATCACGAAAAAAGATAAAAAATATACTGGAATGTACGTATATGTATATTAATACGGATGACTATAGAGGTACTATATGCCACATGACATTCGACAATGGATCATGTAGAGTAATAAAAATTCTCGTACAACCTCGTACTAAGCACAAAGCTGTAAATGGATGATAAAAATAACTTTTTCGATTATATTTGAAAAAAGTTAAACAAACGGCAGTTGTAATACAGTTGAAATTGTGGGTTAACATTGGAGGGAGGAGATAAGAAATTTTTCAATAGAGATATTGAGCTTTTAATTGTTATGCCGAATTGGGTTTATGATAATACAACATTATTTTTGGCTCTATGAAACAATAAAAGCAGCCCCGTACGTACTTCAGTAGTAAGCACGTATGAAAGCATATATCGATTAAATTATAAAGCGCGGAACTTCAAACTTTATAAAATTGATATCGATGGCGAAGGAAACTTAATATGTATGGAATATTGTTTCAACTTTTTTTACCTCAAAATATTATTTCGACACACGTGATCGAGTAGTCGTGTTTCAAAAATTGTTTAGCCTTTCTTTTCAGCGAGAATTGATGGCCCCCGTATGAGATACATATGTGTATTATTGTTACAGGAGAATAATTGATGAAGTAAAAACGAAAGATCGCGATTAATTCAACAGCTATCGAATTTTATCATAAATTGTATATCTATCCTATCAGTTATTTTATTTTAGTGCTATATAATTTTCAAACAGTTTAGAAGCTAAAAATTTGCAATATTTTAGACTTGTCGTTTATAAGGACATACAATTTAAATTAAACTTTCGTTAAACAACTTTTAAATATTATTATTTAAAATATATATATTTCAAACAATTATTTTTTTTTAACCTAACTTAATGTTTTCATTAATGACTATGCTACACCCTTAACCAGTCGCCGTAGGGTGATCGACGGTCTCAGAGTTTATACTGGTGAAAATAATTCCTTTCATCTCACATCCCACGGTAATCGTTGATTGATCGATAAGACAACCTTTCCCAGAGGGTCACAACGGAACGACCGTTTATAAGCACTTTATCAATTGAAGAAGTCAGACTAATCCTCTTTCTTTGACCAGAGATAAAACGAATACACCTATCATATACTAGAGAGAAAATGAATAAAAAAATTCTAATATTAACAAAAAACGAATATCAATAACATATCAGCACTATCGAACAAGATGACAGCAGGATTATTGACCACCCTGATTGCCTTGTCACGAATTACGTAATCCCGAGGAAAAATATATCAGCCGGAAGATCGCTACGTGAATGCCAATTATGATTTACGTATCAATTAATTTGATCGTCGGATGTGAATTATTGATTAAAAACTATCGATTATAATCAGTACCGAAAGATTTTGATTTATAGTAATCGGAAGATTTATCAGCGTGTAACACTGATAAGTAGTGTTGTGTCGGATCGAATGCGATTACGATTACTTAAGTCAGTCTGAATCATTACAATTGAATTGTCAATAGTTACTGAGTGAATTATTGTTTGTACCATTTTACGGATGCTGGGAATTTCACCAAACTGTGGATGCTGGTCGCTTCCTATCTCTCTGACGGGAATTAGTAATGCAATTCCCCAGCGCCTCCTATAACGGGATTCCGATTGGATTCCAAGGTATACCAAGTAAAGCCCATAGAAATTTTCAAGCGAAAAAGAAAAATCGATTACATGCCTGTCGCATCCATCGCTGCCACCTTCGTGTCTTTTCTTGCATCGCAGACGCTAATCGCATACCTCGTTACGACGTGCTATTTTCTAATTCAAAATCGTCACCTACCCTGCCCGTCATCCACTTTCGCATTTAATAGACTACGTAGAAATTATGCATCAACGTTCTTCTTCCATCCCGGCATCCTTCACTTTTCAACGATTATTTATCATTCTCTTTAAGCCTCCAAGGCTTGCTGTCTACCTCCTCTCTCTTTCGATCCATAGAAAGAATTTTTAATGGCAAGGAAAAGCAATCGAATTATTTTTCACATTTACAAACATTCCCAGTGTGCTACTCCAGTAGCCATTTGGAAACGTCGCAACGAAATTTATGCGAGTTCTACCGCCCTTTTCTTTTTCTATTCAACCATAGTAAATCCGGCAGCACCGTGACGCGAAAAACTTTGGAAATGTTCCAGGTCTACTTCGGGGAACGCGAGGTCAACTTTGACCTATGCCAATAGGAATTTCGAAAGGGTGGTTAGAGCAGCCCTTTACCATGACTTTTTTTCCTCTTCGTGTTTCTGTTCCTCTGTTCCTCTCTTTTGAATTTTATAACTACGTAGCTGTACTCCGGTTCACGAAGCTTATTCCCGGTTCTAATGAACTCGTTCTGTTTCTCTGTCTAAATTTAAAGGGTTACCCTGGCCGAGAAAGTTCTTATTTAAAAGCGTCGCGACGCCCGTCACCTTGAAAGCCCGCACTGCAGGTCATGCATGTACGTGCGTCAGAAACAGTCGGAATTAAAGAAAAGCAATTCGATCGTGTTCTTTGTACAACTGTTCAAGCATCGTGCGTACGCAATGAATACCTACCGAATCGAGTGTGTCATTCCCTCGTGTCGGTTGAGCTTGCTCTACACGAAGTAATTGGCTGGTACCAACGTCAATGCGCGAATTTTTATTCCATAAAGAAAATCGTCGTAAATTTAGGATATTGTCAGTTTAAAAGATTTGACAATAATTTCTAAAAGTTTATAGCCTCTCTCTC